TCCCTCTCTTCCCTGCCCTTTCCCCCTTCTGCTTCCCCACTTATGAGTGGGAACATGCAGTATTTCTCTGAAAGGCTTTTTTAAAATAGTTTTTTGGGGGAGAGGGAGGTGGTGGAGACAAACACACACACATGCACACACACTCTAAGCCTTCACTGAAACTAATTAATCAAATAAGAATCTACTAAAGATGAAAAATCCAAATTAATCAAAATCTAAATTAAGTATTTTTTAGTATCACCAGAGTGCTTTTACAGTGGAATGAATATGTTTAATGCTTTAAACAGACCTCTAGGTACACAGCATTTTTGTTGTAAGCACTGCAACTGATGTATTCTTTGATTAACCTGTCAGAAGTAATACTTCTAAAAAGGGAAAGGAATTAAACTGAATTTATGTAAAATTTTATAAGATCATTAAGTGAAAAAAAATGAAGTATGGATTGGACTGGTTTTTTTTAATGAAATCAGGAAAAACCTGATTTTTTTCCCCACATTATATAATTACTGTTGGGAATTTAAACCACTGCTTAAATACTATCCAAATTATTTTGTGTTGAAAATATAGTAACATACTGCTTGCTCTAGTTGATCAAAAGCCAGAGATGACATCCCTGCATGTTTTCTGGGTGTTTTTAGGAACAGGCTTCTAGTTCTTATATTCCTTATTTCTTTGGGAATTTATTTTTGCTCAAAGAAACTAATTATGTGTTAGAAATATAAAATGATTTTTAAAATAGATATAATTTTTGAGGAAATGCAGTTACGTTTGTGAGAAGTTTCAGTTATGAGGAAACAACTTACAATCCAGAAAGTACTTTTGAAACATCTAAATGATCTGAGTTCTCTTTCTGTAAGTGGCTTAAGCTGATCTGTGAAAATGGTTCACTATTCACTTGGCCCAGGAAACCCCACAAAATCATGCAAATCAAGGGTTCAAATCTTTGTGTTCATTTTTAGAATACCCATGAAACTGCCCAGGCCATCAAGGGTATGCATATCTGAAAAGCCACCAAGTATCTGAAAGATGTCACTTTAGAGAAACAATGTGTACAGGTCCGATGTTACAATGGTGGAGTTGGTAGATGTACCCAGGCCAAACAGGACACAGAGTTGGTGGCCCAAAAAAAGTGCTGAATTTTTTCTGCACATGCTTAAAAATGCAGAGAGTAATGCTGAACTTAAGGGTTTATATGTAGATTCTCTGGTCATTGAACATATCCAGGTTAACGAAGCACCCAGAATGTGCCACCATACTTACAGAGTTCATGTTCAGATTAACTCATACATGAGCTCCCCCTGCCACATCAAGATAATCTTTACTGAAAAGGAACAAATTGTTCTTGAACCAGAAGAGGAGTTTGCACAGAAGAAAAAGATATCCCAGAAGAAACTGAAGCAACAAAAGCTTATTGCATGAGAATAAACTCAGCATAACATAAATGCAGATAAAAGTAAAAAAAAAAAAAGATCTGACTTATTTTAAAAAGAAAGCTAAAGATAACTAGATTGATGGGAGTAAGTTAATAAGCTGAAATAAGTATAAGGTTAGCATATTTACCAGTGTTTCACGTTTTAGGCTGTTAGCACAGAATACTCTTGGGTTCCCTGGGAGATAGTTACCTATGTGATATGCCAACGATGTTAACACTTTTAAAAATCTTTAACTTTTACCAAGTAGTGGTTTGCCTTTCTGTGGCATTTGATCCAATGTACTGCCAGTGTTATGTTCCTCTTCCCCTTCTCTTTCTCTCTTTTTCCTCTCTTTTCATGGAAAGGAATTGCCCTACGGTCTGCTGTTCTGCTTTATGATTTTATCCTATTTTTTGGCATGACTATTCTTTATTTTTGAAAATGACTTTTATACAGCAGTGGCAATGATTCAGAAACATTTGACTACATGGATTAAAGCACATACTACTGGTACAAGATGAGCATATCAACCTTTGTTTTTAAGTCAGATACCTCAAATGAAGTCATTCAAAGGTTGCTTTGTATCCAATTTATTTATGTTTATACATACACAAAGGGAAAGTTAGACATTCAAGTTATTGAAACAAATAAATCCCATTGCCTGAGTAAATATACATGTTATAAGATGTTTAAACAGTAGTTATTTTATAATTACGTAATTGCTTATTAAACGATTACTGTGGATGTCACTGCATAATTAGAAAGCATGTCATAGTATAATGCATCTATCATGACTCACATTTATTATTTACCAGTCCCAATCATTATTCCTTTTTCTCTTGCTTTTTCTAAAAATATCAATCATATTTGAATCAATTGCTTTAAATGTTTATTTTTGTGAAGGGGAGAACCCAGGATGGTTGTGAGTTACAAGAGTACTATACCAAGCTTGTACCAAATTAATGAAAATTAGTGTCTTAACTGAGGGGGCTTGTGACTTTTTATTCAATTAAACAATTTGACTGTGAAGTAAATTGCTGTGGTTTTAGTTGATGTCATAACTTTATTTCCAGCCACCAACTTAATGTATTGTTTCTTATACTTTCTATGATATTTATATTTTTATATATTTATTTTATATCATATTGTATATGATATATATTTTTTGAATAGATATTTTAATTTTTGTTTACTTGCCAAAATTGTTACTTCTCATAGTAAGATATTATAGAAGTTTGAAAAATTCTTAGCAATGTCAGAAAACATTATTGTCGTCTAACTACTACATAATGTCTTATACGCAGAAAATCGCAAGGTTTAGTTGGCTCCAGTTTTCTAGAAATCTATAATCTAATGAATATATGTGATGTACGAAGCAGAAGTTCAGTGCCTGACATACAGTATGCACTTTGTGGATATTCGTTGATTGAGCGAAGTAACATTTAATATATAAATATGTAGATACAGATAAACATATCTATATATACAAATGTTCCTTGACTTATGGTGAGGTTACATTCCTATAAACCCATTGTGAGTTGAAAATATCGTAAGTTAAAAGTGCATTTAGTACAGCTAACCTACCAAACGTGATAGCTTAGCCTATCCCACCGTAAATGTGCTCAGAACACTCACATTAGCCTACAGCTGGGCAAAATCATCTGGCAACACAGTATATTACAGAGTATTGGTTTGCCCCTGTGATTGCGTGGCTGACTGAGGCTGCAGTTTGCTGCTGCTGCCCACCATCTCAAGAGAGTATCATACTGCCTATTACTAGCCCAGGAAGAGTTCAAAATTCAAAATTTGAAGTACAGTTTCTACTGAATTCATATCACTTTCACACTATCGTAAAGTTAGAAAATCATGTCGAACCATTGTAAGTTGGGAACCGTCTGTATATCTTTAGATATTACTAGCCCAGGAAGAGTTCAAAATTCAAAATTTGAAGTACAGTTTCTACTGAATTCATATCACTTTCACACTATCATAAAGTTAGAAAATCATGTCGAACCATTGTAAGTTGGGAACCGTCTGTATATCTTTAGATATATTTGTATGTAAATATAGTGAATAGCATTTATGCCCCACTCATACTGTCTTGGTTCTTTCCATTTTACGGTAATCGGAAGGAAATCAATGAACAGTCTACTTCAGTTCTAGTTAGGGAGAATGTATTCAGAGCTGTCATTAAAATTTTCTGTGATGATGGGAATGTTCTGTTTTTGTGTTGTCCAATACAGTAGCTACTATTGAGCGCTTGGAAGGGCTAGTGGTGCTGAAGAAATGAAATTTTTACTTATTTGACTTTAATTAATTTAAATATAAATAGCCACATATGGCTTTTGGCTATCATGTGGGAAGGCATAGGGTATAGGTCATTTGAAGTTCATGTGTTCTCTAAGCCTCATTTTATCTTACAGTTTCAACATTTCTCCTCTGTTAAACTTTTTATCAGGAGTTGCTCACCAGTGAGAAAGTGCAATTTTCAAAAAATGTTCTTTGTACCCTCTGCCCCCACAACTACCAACCTAATACAGATGGTAATAACCAATGTAGTATCCAAAAAATGGGTTTGAGGGGAAAGGGGGAATGAAAGGACTGGAATAGTCCCAATTCAGAGTAGGTGTTGCCAGGACGGTTGGGAATTGTATGTCTAACAGTAGCTGCATGGTACTTTGGGCCAGAAATGCTGCTGTCTTTCTGCCCTGTCACTAAACTAATTGAAATGGGTGGGTGAATCATTTCAACTCTCTGAGCTTCTGTTACCTGTATTTAAAATAAGTATCAAGATGTGGCTTTTTCTAGCATGAACAAGGGAGATTCAGCTGGAAGAAAAGCACTGTATACATTTTAAAAATTATAGAGAAAGACATATATATTCAGAGAATCATTGTTCTATAAGGTTACCAAGTTTCCATTGCTCATGAAGGTGTGACTAAATGGGTCAAACCTCTCTACTGTGAATTTCTATCTCTATAATGGTTACAAAAGTGGTCTTTTAGAATACCTATTTTTTGTAGCTAACTTTGAAATCCAAACTAGAGGTGAAATAGATTTTTTTCACAGCTTCCAGAAATACTTTATAGAGGGGGAAAAAAGAGCAAAGGATCATTTCTAAATTTTAAAGTAATTTATGAGAAGGTTGGTTAGTTCAGAAATACCTCGGGTTATCAAGACAGTTGTATCTAATCACTTTAGGTGATACACGTATATTGATTTTTCAAAGATTACTTGGATTGCTTTGGTTGTATCAATTAAGGGGCTTGTTAGACTATTAGCACTATCTTTTGAGACTGTAGAAATTTTGGTATCTTGTTTATTACAAAAGGTAGCAAGAAGACATTAAAAATGGAAAGTTAATTGGATAGTGTTGAATGTTATCATGATCAAGGCCTAATAGAGTCCTCACGGGAATACTGCACTTGGATAAAATTTATGTGGGACACAGCAAGTGGAGTAATTACCAATTCTTTGTCTAGAGCAATAACTGGAGTGGCACCTCAGAGTGAAGGCTGTAAACCTTAATGAGACCAATCTCTCTCTCTCTTTTCTACTCCCCGGCTCCTGCTCTGTATTGCTGTGCAGGGTGATGTTGGGCTCGCTATGGGTAAACTGTATGGAAATGACTTCAGCCAAACTACCATCTCCCGCTTTGAAGCCTTGAACCTCAGCTTTAAGAACATGTGCAAGTTAAAGCCACTTCTAGAGAAGTGGCTAAATGATGCAGGTAAGTGAATATATAAGAATTTTTTTTGCTGTCCATTGGAATTTTAAAGGAGACATTGTTGTATAAATTGGAGTTTTTATTATATTTCTGGTATTACAGAATCTTGAAGCTCACTAATCTTGGAAGGCGCATTATAAATTATGGCTATGTAAATAAGAGAACTAATTCACTTAAATATTCTAATAATTACAGTGTAGATAATCAGCAATAAGTTTTAGCCTTGGAATATTTCTTGTATTTAAGCCAGGATTAAGGATGCACACACAGTTGAAAGAAGAGGATAAGAAGACCTGTGTATTTGGGTAAACTTGAAAAACAAGTTTACTGTTTCTTCCTTGATGAGTTATCGTAGAACTTGTTCCTGGCAATATTTCTGCTTGTGTTATTTAAAATGACTACATGTTCCATACAAAAAAGTTGGGCTGCTAGTTTTAATTTATGTATTTTGGCTGAGATTTCCTTTTGGAAAGTTTAGATTTTTAATCACAGAATCATAGACTGTGAAAGGTATAAGGATCCATAGAGATCCTCCAGACTATGGTTTTCATTGTAAATGTGAACAAAAATTAGGTCTTTGGAAAAGACAAACCTGAAATACCCACCTTGGAAGTTTGGTTCAATAGCTGTGGGTGAGACCTAGACATCTGTAATCTTACCAAGTTCCAGAGATTAGAACCACTGGTCTACTCCATCCATCATGTAGTAGAAAGAAACTCAGGGTTGTGTATGACATGTCCAGGGTTATTAAACTGTTAAATGACAGAACTCTGTTTTAACTTTAAAGAATTTGGAAATATTTCTTTTTCTTTTTCCTTTTTTTTTTTTTTTTTTTTTTTTTTAGATTACATTACACCAATAAAATGAGAGGTCATTTATAAGATAAATGTTAAACTTTCAATAATTTCTAAGAAGTTTCTTCCTTTTATCTCCAGAGCTCATAAATAAACAAAACATAAGAACAGAACTGAAAGAGATAGAGCTGAGTTCTAAAAGAAGAGATAGTAAACTTCTGCCTTGTCAGAAACAGAAGAAATCAAAAAGTAGAGATGGCAGTATGTATGGTCAAGCATCCTGTCCCATCCTGGGACAAAGAACACCAATAAGAACAGTAGAAAAATCCATGGTAGTGAACAAGATTTTAATGTCAGTTACCTGAAAACTTTTTAATGCTCGCGTGTAGCTTAAAATATTTTGTCAATTTTGTTGTTGTTAATATATGTATTACACACATGAATCACTATGCTTAGCTAATTTTATTGCTGTGTTTTCCTCATTCTTACAGAGAACCTCTCATCTGATTCAGCTGTCTCCAGCCCAAGTGCCCTGAATTCTCCAGGGTTGGGAGTTGAGGGCTTGAACCGGAGGAGGAAGAAACGCACCAGCATAGAGACCAACATCCGTGTGGCCTTAGAGAAGAGTTTCTTGGAGGTCAGTGAGGTTTTTACTTTTCATGTACATGGGACTGTTTGTGTGGTACTGGTGTTAGGAACTGAAAATGATAAAAGATGAGCTTGTCAGCCTCTCCCCTATGGATGCTTATAATGTCATGGAGAAAATAAAACAAAGTAAGTTAGTGACATAGAATACAGAACCAGAGTGCTGCAGTATTCAGGAGAGACCAGTGTCACATCCACATGAGCACTCAGTATGAGAGAGGTGGCAGCTGCTGTAGGATGCATGAGAATTAATTCCGCAGACTGGAAAAGATGGGGCAGGAAAGCACTTCAACTAGAGGGAACGCATGAGCAGGTATATCCCAGGGTAAAACCATGGGCTGTATCAGGCGAAATACTAGTAGTTTGGTTGGCTAAATATTAGTGTCTATATGCCTAGAAGGGTAGTTTGGGACCAGAACACTAGAAACCTTGAATATCAGGCTGTGGAATTTAATTTAATTCAATAGATCTTTGGCTGTTTGTTGTTGTTGTTTTTGGTACCAGGGAATATCATAATCAAAGCTTCCAACAAAATTTTGACTTCTTTAATTCAGAAAAGACTTGAGCACATTGGAAGGAGCACTGAATTAGAAGTCTTTATCAGCTCTGCCACTTGTTAACTGTGTAATGTAGTAAATCATTTGATTTCTTTAAGCCGAAGTCCCTTTCATCTGTGAAATATCTGCCTTTCCTGCCTTACAGACTTATTGTGAGGTCCAAGTTAGATAGTGTGCAGGAAGCACTGAGAAAACTCTTCAAGTCCTACTAATACATAAAGTTGTATTAATACTTTATTAATTTTATTCAAGGTTATTAGACCTTAAAATGAAAAAATAAAAATATTCAAGAACAACTTATTCTAAGTTAATATGAATGAATTTAGTGAACATAATGTTCATTAGAATGTCTGTCTACGAAGCTCTGTGTTCAAAGTGGCCTAATATAGTCATATATATCCAGCTTCATTTTCTGAGTTGTCCCTCCCCATTTGTTTATTTACATACTGACATAATTGTCAGTAGGTCAAAAAGTTATTCCAAAAGATGGGCTTTTTTTCCCTTCAGAATCAAAAGCCTACCTCGGAAGAGATCACCATGATTGCTGAACAGCTCAATATGGAAAAAGAGGTGATTCGTGTTTGGTTTTGTAACCGCCGCCAGAAGGAAAAAAGAATCAACCCACCTAGCAGTGGTGGGACCAGCAGCTCACCTATCAAAGCAATTTTCCCCAGCCCAACCTCACTGGTAAGAATAAAAATAGAGGGTGCAACCTCAAGGACTAATTTTTGTAATTTTACAAATGATCTGCTAAATCAATTTATTTTTATAACAGGGAATTTATTTACGTGGAATAAATGTATATAAATTTATATTTTAGATGTTACCAAGTGTATTAGTCCAGTTTCTGTTGTTTATAACAGAATACCTGAAACTGGGTATTTTATAAAGAATTGAAGTTTATTTTTTACAATTTTGGAGGCTGGGAAGTCCAAGGTCCAGGGAACACATCTGGTGAGGGCTTCTTCTGTGTGGGAACTTTCTACAGGTTCTCATGGTAACACAAGCAATCATATGGCGAGAGTGGCAAGAGCAAGAAGATTAACATGCTTCTTTGCTCTCCTTATAAAGCCATCAGAACCCATTAAACCATTAACCCATTACTCCATGAATAGATTAATCCATTTATGAAGGCACAGTCTTCACAATCCACTCACAATCCAATCTTACAAAGGCCACACTTTTCAAATACCGTAATAGGATTTTCCATCCCCTTAACACTGTTATAATGGGGATTGAGTTTCCAACACAAGAACTTTTGGGGGACATTCAACTCATAGAACCAAGGTAATGAAATCTCATATTGTTGTTGACCTAAGAACTTATTGGTCTTTCTAATTTTTTAAAGTGAACAATTTTAATTCTTTCCTATTTCATTGCATTTCCTTTTTTTATTTTTTATTTTTTGGATGGCTGACTGGTATGGGAATCTGCACCCAGGACCTTGGTGTTTATAAGGGTGTGCTCTAACCTGTTTTTTCGTTTTTGTTCTTTAAGTCGAGACATAATTGATTATACATATTTGTGGGGTACCGAGTTCACTACCAATATTTGTCCACAATAAGTTATGTTCAAATCAGGATAATTAGCATATTCATCATTACAAAATGGAACCATTCTTTGTGTCCATTAACCAATTTCTGGCTAACTCCCATCTTCCTCTCGCTTTCCCACCTCTAGTAACCACAGTTCTCTTCTCTCCTTCTGAAAGTTCAACATATTATTGTGATTGTCCTTTCCTTCTTTTTTTTCTTTCCTCTCTTTTCATTCTTTCTTTCTTTTCTTCCTCCTTTCCTCCCTCCCTCCCTTCCTTTCTTCCTCCCTTCCTTCCTCCCACCCTCCCTCCCATTTATGATTGAGGATATGTGGTATTTCTCTTTCTGTGCCTGGCTTGTTTATATCACTTACCATAATTTTCTCCAAGCTCATCCATGTCGATGCGAATGGCAGAATATCATTCTTTTTATGGCTGAGAATTATTCCATTGTGTATATATATCACATTTTCCTTACCCAAAGGAATCAAAATCATCATGTCAAAGGGATACCTGCACTCCCATGTTTATGCAGCTCTATTTACAGTAGCCAAGATATGGAACCAACCTAAATGTCTATCAACAGATGATTGGATAAGGAAAATGTGGTATATATAAACAATACATTTCCGTTATTTTCTTCTGTGGTATTGTTAATTAGATTACTCTGTAACCATGGGAGTAAATTTGCTGCTGATTCCCACTATTTCAAAAAGTCTTTAGTTACTTTTTATTCATGTTGAGTTCTAAAGCCCAATTTATTAAACTTACACTTATGTGATTAAGTGGCAATAAATTCCCGGATAACTTTTAGCACTGAACTTGCATTTAAAACAGTCATCTCAGATCTTCACTATCAAACAACATGTGGTCCTTTCATATGTAAACTCATTGAATAACTTCTGTTGTTTGCATTAGAATATTCCTAGACTGAAGGGACAGACATCTAGTGGTGGTGTGACTCCCTTGATTTTTAGGATGATTGTAAATAGGACTTCCACAATGCCAACCAGGATGCAAAAGATGAGAGGATTATTGAGTTTGCATTTCTGTTCCTTTTTTCTTAATTTGTTTTTGTTTCATTCGACTGTCATTCAATACTGGAATTTTTAAGCTAAACCACATTAGTTTTTTAAGTGGAGGCTATGGTTGTTAAATGGTGGAACTTTAATCATAAAGTTCATGAAATCGTACTTATGAAAAAGATAGTCATTAGGTAAGTTTTGTGTAGGTGAGTGTTTTCTGTTTCAGATTTATTCATACTAAAACAAAGACAGTATTTCTTAAAAAACAGTAGGAATTTTTTACTTCAGAAAGGAACTCAGTTCTTTTAAATTTGCTTTACATTTTTTCCATAATACTATTTCATTAAAAACAAAAACAGTCTGGTCCAATGGTAGTGGGTTATCAGAACTTATTAGTGAACATTAATGTCACTAACCTTGGTTTACAGCCTCCCACTGCTAAATTTGACTGGCTTAAAAAAAAGAAAAACAAAAACAAGGCAATCTTGCCCTCACAGAGTCAAAAATAAAAGCAGTGTGAACTCCAGATTCCCTGATCCTGTCAAGCAGTTTTCTTATTTCGGTAAGGATAAGTAGTATAATATTTTTTACTGACTTAGAGTATATCCGACTCAACATTATTGAAATTTAGGGATTTTTTTTATAATTTATTTTTAAAACCTGGGCAAAGCCATTTGTGATATCAGTGAAAAACTATCTTCTAATAGCAGCTTTCTAACATATGATGCAAGGTTTCTCATTTCCAAGATCTAAAAGTAATTTTAAAATCATTTCTTGTAGGCCTTTTTTTATTCTGTTATAAAGTCTACAGTATGGGTTTAAATTTTCAAGTTTTGATTTTAAGGGATTTGTGCATTTTTCATTTCTGACCTGTAGGTGGCAACCACACCAAGCCTTGTGACGAGCAGCGCAGCAACTACTCTCACAGTCAACCCTGTCCTCCCTCTAACCAGCGCTGCTGTGACTAATCTCTCTGTTGCAGGTAAGCAGCAGCCATGCAGTGCAATTGTTAAACCCGTGGTAGGTCCATGATAGGTTTCTATGAGAATCTGCCACTAAATTGTGAATTAAGGCTCTAACCAAAGATATGTATTGCTTTAAAAAAAAAAAAGTTATATATGAAAACCTGAGCTTCAAAAGAGATCAGGCATAATTAATTTTATCAGGAAAAAATACTTTCGCCCAAGGATTTTCTTACCTCTTTTGTTCTTTCCCACATTAGTCCATTTTCTACATTACTCCCAGAGTTATCTTTCAAAAACCCAATTTTTTTTCCCAAGTAACTCTTTTCTTTAAAAACCTTCAATAGCTATGGCTTTTTGCATTCTGGAAAACATCCAAATTCATCAGTTCATCAGTTCAGAAGGTTATTTCCAGATTGGACCTGATCACTAGTCTTTTGCTCACCTTAGCCTAAGCACACACCTTACCATCCATACCTTGGAAAACATCCCTTACAGACTGTCGTTCTTTGTGTGACATTGATAAAGCTACTCCAGCTTATATTTGTATATCAATTCTTCTTCAAAATATTCTTGAGCTTTCCCAGGAGACTATTCATTTCCACCTACTTCTGTTATAAATAATTATATTTTTATTTTTTGAAATCTTGTTGCCTAACTTAGTGCTTTACACACTCACTATTAAAAAAAAATGTTTTCTCCCTTTGGCTTCCTTTAAATATCAAATTTCCCAAATACAATTAAAATGACTTAGCGTTGTCATCAAGTGTTTTAAATGATACATAATATATAAGACATACTATAACTATTCACCAGGTTGATTATTTGCTAGTAAACCTTTGGGTGGATTTGTGATATTTCACAATCAAGCTTGATTTAACCTAAAGTTGGAGACTTTGATTGTCTTCACTCATGGTTTAAGTTCATAACACATCTTCAGCTATATGATCTAACCATAATGTAAATTGAATAAATGACTTTAGATTGTACTAAAGTTCTAAGTTATTAGAAAATATCATAATTTTTCTATGTTTATTGTAAACAGTATTTCTTGACCTTCTTTTGGGTGTTGGACCTCTGAGAATTTGAAAACAGTGGACTTTTTCACCCACAAAATAGGCATACACATAATTTTTAGTAAAATTTAAGAAGGTTTATAAATGACAACTCTCAACAGCCTCCTACCCCACCCCAAGGCTATTTATAGATACCTTAGGAGCCTACAGATTCTAGGTTAAGAATTCTGTTCAAGGGTGTATAGTATTCAGCACTTTAGTTTAAGAAGCAAACTATTAGTGATTGACTGGCATCGTGTTGGGCACCAGGAACATTAGAGTTCCTGTCTCGGAGCTTACCATCCAAACTGACTGCCAGTCATTTGCTAAATTATGAACTGAACTTTACTTTCCCAACAAATAATAAGTCTTATTCCATTAGGTCTAAAGATATCCATTTTGTGCAGAAAAATTTCTAGTAGTTCAGACACTGAGAACAAGTAGCTTTGTTGTTTTTAAAATGGGGGTAAAATCATACAAGGCAATTTTAAGGAGATATACATACTCAAAACTAACTAAAAATTTGTGTCAGTTTTTGATGATCCTAACTGACCAATCACATTTTCTTGAACTCAGTTACTAGCCCATTTATGTAGATTTAATTATGACTGTTTTCTGAAACGTTGGTAACTCTTCTTTGGAATGAACTTTTTTTTTTTTTTTTTAAAGATGACCGGTAAGGGGATCTTAACCCTTGACTTGGTGTTGTCAGCACCATGCTCACCTAGTGAGCTAACCAACCATCCCTATATGGAATCCAAACCCATGTCCTTGGTATTATCAGCACCGCACTCTCCTGAGTGAGTCACAGGCCAGCCCTGGAATGAATTTTTTAATTATTAAGAAATTTAACATTATAGGGAACTACACAAACAGGAATAACACAATCACAAGTACTATTTTTATTTTCTCTTTAAACCTCTTTTATATGGACATATATTGTGTAATTTTGATAGTATTTGTATAGTATAGTATTTGATTACAGCCTTGTGATACTCTAAACAGAGGACCCAGCTAGACTGGGCCTAGACACCTGACCCACAGAAACTATAAGATGATAAACTGTATTGTTTTAAGCCACTGAGTCTGTAGTACTTTGTTACACAGCAATACAAGTAGTATGATGTTTGTATAAATACTGTACATGGCCAGCTCATGTGATTGACTCTATAGGGGAAAAATGTAATCTTACAGCACTTAAACATAGCTGCTTGAAAGAGGTTTACAAGAGTCAAGTGTCAGGGACATTATTCTGATTCCCACATTCATTTCCCCTCCCTGCACGTTAAACTACTAAAATTTGTTATGCCTTTTCTCCATTAAAAAAAAAAAAAGAGTCAATTGTGAAATGAATTTTCTTTCCTTACTCTTGTCAGCAGTTGCTCAAAGTCATGCCCCATTTTAATTTTTTTTGCTCTTAGGACTATAACTTTCTTACATAGGCTCTTTTTCTCTGACATTTCTATATTGCCTTTTTTTAAAAAAAGACATCTAGTATCTTAATTATATAAGTTATGTAATACAATCTACTTTCTTCCTGTAGACTTTTTTCTTGGGATTTCCGTGATTGCTTATTTTAATTTTTTTTTTTCCCTTTTTTTTTGTCTTTTTTACTGACCGGTAACGGGATCACAACCCTCAGTGTTGCGCCCACACCGCGCTCAGCCAGTGAGCAGGAACTGGTCTCTACATGGGATCCGAACCCTCGGCGGGAGCGCCGCCACGCTCCCAAGTGGCACACTCTCCAGTGTGCCACCGGGCCGGCCCTAATTTTTTTTTTTTAATTATTGTATTCCTGCCTTAGATCCAATGTTTCTTAGATTCCGTGTCTTCTTTTTGATTTCTTTTTGTTCATTTGGAGCACATTCTTAAGTATTTTTCTTTTTCTTTATTTAGAAAGACTTTGTGGGAGGTAAAATTTCTAAGGACATGCATAGCTGAAAAGTCTTTATTATACTTTCACAGTTTTTTTGGAGTTTGTTCAATAGTAGAACTCTTGGTACAAAATTATAATTTTTTTTTAACTTTGGAGGTATTGCGCTGTTGTGTTTTAGCATCAGTGTTGCCAATGAAAAGTCTGAATTCAATCTAACTCTCTTTTCTTGATAGTTTGTTTTTTCTCTCTGTAAACTTTAAGGATATTTTTATCCTTAGTGTTCTGAAATTTCACTAGGAAGTTTCAAGGTATGAGCCTTTTAAAATTTGTCTCCATTGGCCTTCAGTGAGCATTTTCAATCTGGATTAATGTCTTTCTTCAACTCTGGAATTTTTATTTTTATTTTTTTTATTGTGGCAAAACATGTATAACATCAGAATTCCCCTTTTAAGCATTTTTAAACACATAGTTGTGTAGAATTATATTCACAATGCTGTGCAACTACTACCTCTATCTATTTACAAAACTTTTATCATCATAAACATAAACTCTGAACCCAGTAAGCAATAACTTCTCGTTATTCCTCCCCCACCCGTTTCTGGTAACCTCTGATCTACTTCTGTCCCTGAAACTTTTTTTTTCTTTTTAATTTGTTTTTTTCTTAATTGACCCATGACAACTCTGGTAATTTATCTTCGTTTATTTAAGCTGTTTCTTCTGACATTAGCTCTGTTTATTCACTTTTGCCATTTCTTTTATGCTATTGTAGTTTTTTCATTGTCTGGTGATTTGGGGTTATTTATTCTTATTGATGAATGCAAGGCCATATTACTTAATGTCAGTAGCCTGTTAAGAGTTTTTTCTACCATTGTGTAGCTTTCGTTATTCAACAGTCATCTCCCCTGAATGGAAGGGCTAGCAGTGAGTTGTGAATGTGGGTAGAGAATGGCCAGACTTTATTTCAGGGTGTATGACTGGGAAACAGGCAGGCAAGCAAGGCTTTACCCTCACATTTCCCGTAACAATGAGGATCTTTACTTGTGCATGCCAGTTCCCGTGCTAGAATCCTTAGCCTTACATAGTCAGGTTTTTATTTTCTTTGAAGAGTAGTATGTGACATTAGATCTGCTCATATGAGAGGTCTGGTAGAGGGAGGGAAAGGCCCACTGTCAGAGCTAGTGTGTGAATAGTCATTTAATCACACTTTTCTCTTAACGGTGTTTCCTATTCCTCCCTCAGTATTTGGCAACTCTGTGTATGGACTTTCATCAGGGCTCCATCAAAGTGAATAATCCCCACTTCTATCATAGCCTTCTCCTGTGCCATTTTGGACTGTGGTGGTTTTCCCATCACCCATTTTCATCCTCTTTCTCATTTCTGCAAATCTATCTCAATCTTAAGCCCTCTAATATCTGTCCCAGGAGCTCTTATTCCCTTTTGTATTTCTTTACTATCATTTGGAATAGGATTTTAGAAACAAAGGGAAAAACCATATCCTCAGTCTATCATCTTCCAGGAAAAATCTTGTTTGATTGATATGATCATCTTTATTTTCTCATAGTGCTTGGCACATAATTGGTCCTTGGTAAACAATTAATGATCACAACTCTACTCTTCCAGAAAAACATGTTCTGATGTGTCTCAAAAACTTGAAAAAATTCCACAGCCTTGTAATAGCCTCAACTAAATATGCTTTGTCCCCAATTCTTTTTCCAAAATACCTTTTATAATGGCAAAAGAGGTGATTCCTCAGGAAGATATAGCAATTATATAGCTACAACAGAGGTCCAAAGTACAGGAAGCGAAAATGAACAGAACCGAAAGGAGAAGTAGATAATTCAACAATAGTAGTTGGAGGTGCTAATATCCCATTTTCAATGATTAATTTGAACTATGTAAAAAAAATCATCAAGGATAACAAGACTTAAACAGCGCTGTCACCCAACTTGACCTAATTGCCATCTGTAGAACATTTGATACAACAACAACAGAAAACACATTCTTTTCAAGTACACATGGAACGTCCATCCCCCAGGATGTTTTGAGCCATAAAACAAGACTCAATAAATTTTAAATGATTAATATAATACAAAGTGCATTATCTGACTACAACTGAGATAAATTAGAAATCAACAACAGAAAGAAATTTGGGAAATCCCCAAATATTTGAAAGTTAAAGTAACATGTAAGTCAAAGAAGAAAAATTAGAAAATACTTTTAAATGAATGAAAATGAAAACACAAGAGAAAATAATCTCAGATCAATAGTCAAAGCTACTGCCTTAAGAAAATAGAAGAGCAAACCATTCCCAGATCAAGCAGAAAGAAGGAAATAATAAAGATTAGAGTAGAAATTGTAATTATATGTAAGGGAAACCACAATAAGAATAAATCACTTTATTTATGTTTTTGAGAAGGACAGAAAGAGGAATGAATCCTCCCTTTTTCAATTAACAGTAAGAAAGATTTTCAATTAACAGAAACAAAGTTTACCTCATTCATTTGGAGACCATGTAACCACTACGTGCAGCATTGTAGGAGGTGGGGAATATAGAATCAGTGCTGACATAAGTGATATCTAAGTTTCTCTCAGCTCTGTTACATGTGAAAGAAACTGAAGAGTAGAAATGAAAAAGAAGTCAAATTTTAGGTGTTATTAGTACAGACCAGAAGAAGGCTTCAAAACAGATTTTGGAAGAACAAGACTGCCTGAATTTGTGATAAGGCTGTTATGAGAAAGGAGGATCTTCTGCAGCTTAGTAGTAGACTTGATCTCCAAAAGCAGATTATCTTTTGCAGAAGATTTTTTCCAATATGTTATACCTTATAGGTTCAAGGCTGTTATGAGAAAGGAGGATCTTCTGCAGCTTAGTAGTAGACTTTATCTCCAAAAGCAGATTATCTTTTGCAGAAGATTTTTTCCAATATGTTATACCTTATAGGTTTGAAATAGTTATTTTGATTGGTCTGGTTCTTTTATAATATATTGAAAAGCTTTTATACTTCCCAACTATGTTGAAATTTATTGTCTTTTTGAGTTCTCTATCCTGAGAAAATAACCACTTTATACATATATATGGTTGATTATATCCTAGAACGTAGTGAGTGTTACTAAATTAAGTTCCAGCTAGTTTAGGCAGCCTGTTTTTGTAATATGTAGCATTTACTGATAACTGAAATAAGAGTGCCTTTTCCATACTGTCTTTTATAGATAGCATCAAAATTACAGCTCACTGTAATTTTGGAATTACGGTTGTAATCTTCTGCTTTGTGGCAGGATATCTGTCCTCTGAGAGCCTTAACAGCCATTTCTACTTGAGGCAGAGTGACTTTAAGTTACACTTGACTCTAGGACCCAGTAGGCCTGACTTCCAGACATATTTTAGGTCTGTGGTATCCAATATGGCATCCATTAGCCACATGTGCTGTAATTATAAAATGCATGCCATTTTCAGACTTAGTAAGAAAAAAGGTATAAAATAACTTACTAATAATTTTTTAATATTGATTTAATCTTGAAATGATAACATTT